GTACTATAAAAATTTCAAACAAATAATTTAGCATTAAAGACAGCAGACAAAACTATTATGATTATCAAAGCATCAAGGACTAAAAAATGTAATAGCAAATACAGAATATGTTTCATTGCATTACTGATTCTACTCTACAAAAATATCAACAAACAACAACTTAATATACACCTCAACTTAATACAACTTAATATACACCTTTTGTACAAACCAGTTCTTTTAATCAGTTCCATCATCCATTGCCTTTACATTTTCACACTTACCATTTGTAAACATAGTAACAGATATTTAAACGATTTTAGAAACAAAAAAAACACTGTGTACTGCTTAGTTTTATGATATTTTCCTTGGTTTAATTTAATCAGTGGTGTGACAAAATACAAATAATAAAGTAAATGTGAACTGAAAGCTATGTTAAGATAAAATAAGAGTATTATGTATTACCATTTGATAATTAAATATAGTTATACATATACAACAGACTTTAGAAAACAAAAATCAACGTACAATTTAGTTATTGATGCTATTCTTTAGTTTAATTTAAGCATAGGTTTAGCAAAACACAATAACTTAATTTAACTAAATATACATATAAAAAACAATGTGATGTGCAAGATATGTTAAGTTAATCTAACACATGTTAAGCAGTTAAAATTTATTTAAAAAAGCCTCCAAATTCATACAAAACATCTATACATTGTAATTTTCATACTGTTTCCATGAAAACGTATCAATAACATTATTTTCATAACTTAGACGCTTTAAAAAATCCAAAGCAGAGCCGGAGTTGATACAGCAACGGTTATAGAATATTTTTTTCTATAATCATTGACATGGTTTTAGAATAAATAATCCATGATAAAAGGTTAGATAAACCTACCTTATGGAAAATATTATATTTAATTTCTTTGTATCAGCTGTCTGAAATGGTGAAATATGCAGTTTAGCAGTTCTTCTTGTTTACATTTAAATGTCAAAGCAAATGTAAACAAACATTGTTAGTGTTCTCATCGCAGCCATGGAGACCAATCAATATTTACTTTTAAAATGTTCACCTCAGAACTTTTAAAGCCAAAGGGGCAAAGTCTACGGTCAGTATCGAAATGTGAATAGTCCTATAATGTTCCTTGGTATGGTAACTATATTTTTGTAAAATTTAAGCCCAGTTGGTTCAGTAGTTTTTGCACCTATTAGTAACACACATACAGACAGACACCATTAGATTTTTATATAATAGTAAAGATAATTGAACTTAATTCCATTTTGTAGCCCCTGAACTGCTGAGTAAGTTAACCACTGTTCATAGTTGTAAGTTGGTATATATTTAATTTCATAAGAGGTTGAAGTGGTATCAAAATAAATAATAACAAAATTCTCAATACACATCTGTTTATGTATCGTGAAATACTGAAACGTGTATATTTTACCAGTTGTAAATCACTATGATATAACACAGGAAGGAAGGTTATAACAATACCGTCCAACCATCTGTGACACATTGTCCTACACTGCAGCGGATATCCGGTGTGTAGTAAATAATCTATCTGCTGATATGTTATACAGGGTGAGTGAAAAGTAACTTACAAACCACTTTGAATTTTTATCGATTTGAGACATTTTTGAAATCGGTTGGTCTTCTTAGATATGAGGGGCTACAATTTTATGATGGATATATTTAAAATCTTACCCATAGAAGGGCATAATAAAAAAAATCCAATTTAAAAGATTCAAAATTCAAAAACATTTATGTATGATAATACAACATCTTAGCCTCGCCAAGTTTACAAAAGTTGTCGGCGAGGTCCAATTGATACACAAAAAGTAACTGGCCTAATTTTATATTTTTCTTTATGTTTTCTTTTTTGCAAAAAATGTTTCTAGCACTACTAATTCAATGGAGATTTGTGGCAGGCACCTGTCTATACAGAATGATAGGCAGCAGAAATACAAAGTTGTAAATAATAATAATAGTTAATTTTAAAAATTTTCCCCTTAGTGGAGTTAGGTGCAAGCTAACAATTTTCAAATGGACATTATAGTGGACTTTCACATCAGCGTACAGGTCTTGACGAAAATAAACAATTGACTTAAATAAAATTGAAATCAGACCACTAATAACAAAATAGATGCTAAAAATGTTATGACGCTGGTTATTAAAAGTAGTTTTTAGCTGCCATTTTGTGATTAGTGGTATGATTTCTAATTTCTTTAAGTTATTTTTGTAGTTTTGTCAAGACCTAAAAAAAGGTTATGAAATCCGACTATACTTCTAATTTTAAAAGCGTGAGCTAGCCTGTCCCCTAACCCTAGGGTAAGATTTTTACAAATAGCCATCAAAGGTGTAGCCCCTTGTATCTAAGAAGGTTTCTGCAAACTGATTTCAATATCTCAAATTGTTAATAAGCTAAGGAGGATGCAAGTTACTTTCTAGCCGGGTGGCTCTAGAGGGCTCATGATTGATTGGGTTTGAATTGTATTAGAGTGTCATTTTGTTATTTGTGGTCCGATATGTGTTTTATTTAGTCAATTGTTTAATTTTCTCAAAAAACAAAGTTCCTGTTTGAAAATGTTGAGCCTAACCCCTACCGCTACCTAAGGGCAAAAGTTTAAACAGTTAACCATCATTATTCTTGTCCCTCCAAGAAAGTTGCAGCAAACCGATTTCAAATATCTCAAAGGGTTAAAAATCTAGACTGCTAGTTACTTTTGAGTCACCCTGTAGTAACAGTGTTAATTTATTTCACATTACTATTTGGAAAATAAACAGACGAAGTTAAGTTTATAGGGTTAGGGTCATTTGGAAAATTAAAACATTGAAATGAAAATAAGATCATGTAATTAATAAATCCTCATTTTTTCAGGCAATGTTAGGGCCACATAGCCCTTTCTTACACTTCACTTGACAAACTATATACAAAGGACAAATTACAAAGATATAACTTAATCTTATGTTTATTTATTATGTTTAGGTATTTTCATTATTTAAAAAAATGTAAATACTGTAAAAAAATACGTACACAAATTTCACACGCACACGCATCAGGAATCAGACACAGAATCCCTTGAACAGGCCAGTAGAGACTATTTTTTTAAACTAAGGATTTTTCAGTGCCACCACAAACTGGGAATGTTTTTTAAAGGGTTTAATTATGCAGGGGTAGGCCATTATGCAGATGATAAGATGATGAGGTACAGTATACTCAATGTGATAAAAAAACACCAAATTCGTGAACTACCCTGAGACCACTATTTATTGTATATAAATATTGTATGCACTGTATAATGTGATTCTGTAGAGCTCGCTACGCAATGTTTGTGACAATCTGTATAATTAACTTGAAAGATAAAACTTATAAGCCACGAAATAGTATGTAGCCTACCCAGGATACCATTATAAAAAAACTAAAAAAATATGGGCATGCTTGATCCTGCAGCAGCAATGCTGTAATTCTACAAGCACGGTATGTGTTTTTCAGCAGTGTTGCTGAAGTAAATCCATCACTAAACCATCATGAAGGTTATATGTAAATACCTAGTCAATTGATGACGAAAATAGGTTTGATGTTTGCCATTAATCACTCCAATTGGTAACACTTGTGACATACTTTTGCTGCCTTCTATTTGTCAAATGTTGAAGGTAGATAGCAACAAAATTTATCAAAGTCATGGTGAACCCTACTAATGTAGCGTTTATTCATAGGTAACGATATAGCATATTTAATTTGTGGTTTATTCCAGGAGTCAAAACTTTGTAAACTTGGTTAGTTTTTTGGCATCTTAATTGTTTTGTGAGTGAATCCCACACGTGCCGTAAATGCTATTATATAAACTATGTGGAGTTATTTTACAGAATAAGTTAGAAGTATGTTTCGAGTTTATGTTTAACTACATGAAAACTTAATTTTATTGAATTTCCCTATAGGGGAGTAGCTATTACCATTGACCAACATTACATTGGCTATACCATATAGTCAATGTTATTACCGTGTGTGGCACGGTAAGACCTAGGCCCGGGACCAATTTACTTTTTCATTTTTGGTATGCCCAGAGGCCAAACACACCATTCGTTTTAAATTTGTATACAGGCTTTTAATATTTTACTAAAAAACACACTTTTTTTAGATTCTTTGTAGCAGCAAACCTAGTTACTCGTTAAACCTAATGTCATTTAAATAGATTTATAGGAAAATCAATTCAGAAATAAAAATTATTTTTGTATGCAGGTTTGCTGCGGAGGGAGTATTTTAGGTTATACTAGATATCATATGAACAGAATCAGTGTTCATATAATGTTAAGTAAGCATCATCAAAAAACTGTGATACACAATGAGAACTGTAAAAGTAGGATTGTTTACAGTCATTTTAATGTTTTTAATTTAATAAATAATTCTTGATATTGTTCGAATGTTTGATAAGTTACCTTTTTACTTTTGTTTAGGTGCAGTGGTAGAACAGTATGGCTATGCTAGATGTGTACTATAGCATACCATAATATAAAGAACCAAATATTCTCAAACCTTATCCTTCCCCATTGCAAACGCAAAGCACAGGTATAACTACAATAAGCATTTTATAGTTATACGCCAACCCCGTACGAAGAACAGGCACTTTGCTAGTATCCTATAATTGATTTTATAGAACTTATTAATAATGGTGGCGAATAAAGATTTACAAAAAGAAATCACTAAAAAGTTTAAATTCAAATAAAAATATAAAAACTAAAGTATTTTGAAAGAATTAAAAATCAATAACAACCTACGATTATTTATTGCTTATTTAAAGGACTTTAAATGACATTTGTAAAAAATACATTCTAAGAAAATTGGTGATAAAAAAATTTTAGCAGTTAAATCATAATTTTGAATCTTATTGTTTTTAAAATAAAAAGCATAAAAATAATGATTTTTTAAATACATTTTTAATCCAAAAACTAATAGCTTGTCTGGAGACAATAATAGTGTCAATATAATTATAAGCTTACTCCAAATGAATTTTCTTCTTTACGATGAGGACTTCTTGTCAGTGTCCACCCAGTAGTTCTCAGTCAAATACGGTTTCACTATGCTTTTCATGAACAGGTTGTCTAAAACCTGAAGATGTACACCCATCCCTTCTATTGTATGAATCCTATTACCCTCATTCAAGGTTTTCAGCCCTATTCTGTCCTCTTTGTACAGTTCCGAATCGACCATTGATCTTAGTTCATAATCCTTTCCGTAAAACCCAAACCATGAAGATTCTGGTGGATCAATCTGTGAGTCAAATTGAAATCGGTAAAGTACTAGGTTTTTAAGTTTGATGAGGTTTGTCCTGTAGAGTTCATTAGGGTTATTTATATCTTCATTATTTATGTCCGCTAAGAACTTGTCATCTTCGGCTTTGCCAAACTTTCCTTGGTGTTGTGTTCCTAGGGTTATCAGATTAAAGATAGGAGGGTCTGAGCATTTTTGTGCTACTGCTCTCAAATACAACCCACCTTTGCCAAACCCCACTGCATGGTAGCCCCGTTGTAATTTCTTGTCTTCAGCGATCATCTTGCAAGCCATGTCCACCAGTTTACTTTTACTAATAGGCCTAAACACAGATTTGATTGCTTTCAAAAACCTATTGGATTTCCACTTTAAACACTTAATGTAAGCAGAAGACAACGATGTTTCCATTTTTATAGTCGTAGTTGCAACTGTTATTTCGTCTGATTCACAAGAATTTATCTTGCCGTTCCACAAAACAATGGGTGTAGGACCAACGCGGAGTTCACCTTCTTTTCCGTCATAACCTATTATTAAAGTCAAGTTCAACACTAAACATAATACAACAAGAAACATCACGGGATGTAAAACTGAACCTTCCACGGTTAGAGCACGCCACTAACTGTTCTGTTACTGCAGATATTTGTCATTATTGCAAACGCTTGTTTACATTCCATTTATCTAACTTTAAACTCAGCGAATATTTGTCATTGGCTTATAGTTGTAAGCATACGTGCTTATAACATATGTTTTTCAAAAAGAAGACGGTTTATTTATATGAATTTGGTACAATAAAAAGGGCCATTATAGATAATCATTTGTTATCTGTAATATGTGTTACAATAATAATAATGTAATAGTTGTTGTAATATTTGTTGTTATATTACTTGTAATACCACAAATAAAAATAGTAATGATGGTTTGATACTTTTGTAAAAATTCAATGTATTTAGTTTGATTACTTCGATTATGGTTATGTACTGAAATAATATAAGGCGTTGCTTTGAAACTAAATGAAATTTTGTTAATCAGTAGTTTATGGACGTACCTTATTTGTTTCGTGGATCAACTTTCTTTTTTTTATGAGGAAATCCTTACCAAATCTATTATTATAAACTTTACGACTCGTCCAGTCAGCTTAAGGGTGTTTGGTCAAAAGTTTGATGTCTTATTTTTTGTTATTGTTCAATTTTACTAAAAAATTAGAAATACAAATATAAAAGACAAAATTATTTATTTTGAATATTAAGCGAGATATGGAGCTTGAAAGTAGTAAATTTTTAATCTTTGGTACCAGTTCACAGGGAGAATGGGTAATGCGATTCTCACTAAAATTTGCATTCAGGTGTGGAAAAATAAGATAATAATCTCTAGCTATTTAAAATTAAAAATTAAAAAAAACTTTAAATTTGATTTTTTATAAAAATTTTTAAAAAATATATATATATTTTTTTAAATAGCTGTTTGTTTTTGGGAAAAATGTATCTGTATGTTGGAATAAAAAAAAAGTTATATGGTAACTCGTTTGGGCTGTGAAGTCATACCTTTGATGCCTTGCGCTGTCGGAGCACTACTCGTTGAGAGTCTGTACACTAACACCGGGGCTTTAGAATACAACGATAAACGTATTTTTTCAATGTTAAAGAATGTTAATAATTACGTGATGTTAAAGTATTATAAAGCCCCGGTGTTAGTGTACAAACTCTCAACGAGTAGTGCTCCGACAGTGCAAGGCATCAAAGGTACGAATTCACAGCCCAAACGAGTTAACATATCACATTTATTTTTATTCCAACATACAGATACATTTTTCCTAAAAACAAACAGCTATTTTTAATTTTTTTTTAATTTTTAATTTTTTTAAAAGTTTATAAAAAATAAAATTTAAATTTTTTTTTAATTTTTAATTTTAAATAGCTAGTGATTATTATCTTATTTTTCCACACCTGAATGCAAATTTTGGTGAGAATCGCATTACCCATTCTCCCTGTGAATTGGTACCAAAGATGAAAAATTTACTACTTTCAAGCTCCATATCTCGCTTAATATTTAAAATAATTTTTTTCCTCTATATTTGTATCTCTAATTTTTAGTACAATTAAACAATAACAAAAAATCAGACATGAAAATTTGCGACCAAACACCCTTAGGTATTAGTTACTGAAGGTGGTTCTGTATACATTTTAGCAATACTAATGAATTTCGGATCTGTTCCTTGGCGGCCTAACGTGTTTTTAAATATTGAAAAGTAAATGTGTCCTCGTGTATGATTTATATTTGGCAACGGTAACTTATTTATTATTTTTGTCAAGAAAATGATTTAGAAGTGGGGTTGAAACTCCAAACTAGTCATCCACTAGAAAATATAGGATTGATCGACGACATGTCTGTAGCCTTATTTATATAATAAAAATGAAGATAAAATAAAATTCCATATTGTACTACAAGAATGAACTACAAATATAAAGTAAATGTTAGGCAAAAACAAAACAACAGAAAAAAGTCAAGCAAATAACATAGAAAACATTTAAAACACACAACATGCATGACTATGACTAGCTTTGAAGATGTGACCGACGGGAGTTTACGTCTAGACGTAAAATGTGTCCTACGTTTTGTAAATATTTACGAACTCAGAAGAATCAGCAGTGTCCTTGGGAAAACCTGAAGAAGGCTCCTTTGTGATCCGAAACTAGTTGTAACACAACCATTTGGATTATCAGCATTACAGGTATTTAAACCACTCTAATGGGCAGTATCCTTTAAATACATTATTTATATCCTTTAAAACTCGGCATCCCCATGAACCCTCCTTCGGCAAGATGTTTGGCTAAAGGATGTTCGAGTTTATATTATCAATGTCATATTCAGTTAGTAAATGTTTTCTCTGATATTATTTTGCTTTTGTTCTTTCGTTCCTGCTGGAATGATATTATAACGTGCCTAGGTTTTTCTAGTCCAGAAGCAGTCTTAGACCACCCACGATTATTCTTCCAACGAAGGCAGGGAGGGATATTCATTGAGTTCCCAGCTCCTGTACGACACTGGGATGCTTGTGTTTTGTTCGAAATGTTTAAGTAAACCAATTACAGTATTGGTCTATTATTATTTTTGTCTCTCGATGTAACGTATGGGACACTCCCACATAGTTTTAAAAGTTTAACACTAACTTCTTCTGATCTTCCTATCAGTGGCACTCCACAAAACCTATTTAGAGGTGTTGTTAAAATTACAGTATGGGTAGTAGTTTTCCCCAACAAATACCCCCTGTTGCAAACTACTACAGGGGGTTTCATATAGTAATATAAAAGATTTTTTTCTGTTGTCATATTTTGCATGTGGATTGAAAATTACCTTTTGGTTACTGCTTTTCATCTGTTGACTGCCTCTTGGTTACTAATTTTCAAATTTTATCGTTCAAAGAGTCACTATTACATCCATAATCATGCTCATGAGCCATATTAATGTATTTATAGTCCTTACAATGTGTTACTGTGAAACATCACCCCATTACGACAAAAGACGTAAAAGTAGCTGAATCCAATAGGATCCGATATTGAGTTCTGTATTTACAGCATATTCTGTAAAACCTCACATAGCAAAATCTTCTTGCAAGATTGACTGTCGTCATTTTTATTGCCGAAAATATATTTTTTTAATTATCATTATTATTTTTATTGTTATTCAGTTAAGAATAAGGTTTAATTACTACCAACATTACATACATGAAATGCTTACTACTAATTTTAAAGTGTAAAATTATTGCACAAGGCACTGGAATCCAGTATGAGTTTGGAGAACTTTAATTTTGAGCAAGCAGAAGGTCATTTACAACACCAGAGGCTAATTTGACTGCGGTGGTTTTCAGAACCAATTTACTGCCTTCATTGTGAAAGCGGTTTATTATTTTCATAACTTAGTAAGGGCTTTCTTTTCTCAAACGTTTTTCTTTCTCCGTTTGACATACGTAAATGTATATTATAAAAATCTAATAGTACGAGAAAGTGTTTGAAATATTTATTAATAATATTTATTTATTATTTAGCAATATTTATTGTAAACACGTTCATAATCACATTATTTATTTATTTATTTTCAACCAAAAATCCCCTGACATTGATTCATATACAATAATCAAGGCAAGATTTGTTAATTCTACAAATATTCAACAACAACAAAATGTATTTAGAATAAATTTAATTATATATAACTTTTGTGTATAAATGTATATACTATAAAATGTATATACAATATTTATGTACAATCAATATAAGTTTATATACAATACTTAAAGGGTTTAATGGTTGTTGATTAAAACAAAGGGATTTATTGATAGTTATTTACCCCTACTTTAGGAACTACTACATTTTTACGAACGCTACATGGTGTAACAGTAGTTGCAAACACATTCTCAAAAAGATTTACGAATAAATTGCTTAAACAATGTTTTGCAGCAACAGGTATGTTCGTCTACATCTCCTATCATTAACCAAATATTATAGTATATTTCATCACTATGGCCTAAAGTGACTTTTTTCGATCCGAAGTCAAGTATTATGATCGAGGCGAAGCCGAGGGTTGAAAAGACACTTTCTGCCGGTGTGATGAACTATATTTTTCGTCATATTGCACCATAATTTGACCAAACTATGATGTAAAACTAAATATTCTTAATATAAAGTAACCTCTCAAAACTACTTCTAACTTGTTTTCAATTTAATTTGCTTATGGAAACAAGCAGCTGTTTCGTATTCAATCATTTCGTCAATTACGGTTGTGGTAGTGTACATTGTACATTATATTATCGATATGTTGAACTATTTTACAATAAAGTAACAATAAGCTCCACTCGATTAAACAACCAATACATACTTTCGTTAAATGCGTTGTTTACAATCGAAACTTACAACTAAGTTGACAACAGCTAATTTTTACTCCCTAGAGGCTAAACACCATTTTGGTTTCCTAAAGAGTAAAAATGCTACTTTTAACCCTTAAATCATACATTAAAAAGGGCCGTTGTTGCTACAGTATTGCAAAAAATCTAATTATAATACGGTTTTATTAATAAAGTAATAAACGTATTCTGTATTCAAAACCATGCTGTAACAACGATACAATTTTTTACGTATACAAACAGTTAACTTTGACACATATGTCATTCGGGGATTTAGCTGACATGCATGTGACGTCACGGGATCAGCTGACATGTATGTGACGTCACTTAATCAGCTGTTTATCTATCCGTCTATCAGCTGTCTATATTGAATGGATTGTCATAGTATATCAATCATAAA